TAAAAAAAGTACCAGGTACCAGAAACTGTACCCAGTGGAAAACCCCCCAAAAGTGAACCGTACCGAGCCATACCGTGCCGTACCATGCAGTGGAAAAGCGCCATATGTCTGGGAAAAGGGTGTATGGTCACCCAAATAAAATGAAACGTTGAGTACAGCAGGATGAAGTATTTTTGTAGGCCAAAACCTAGAAACGAGCTAGCATTTTAGAACTTACGGTCCCATCTCCTAAAGTCAGTGGTTTTTTGAATGGATTTTTGATTAAATGCCTGAAATAAGGAAAATCAGCTGTGTGAGAATGGGAACCAAGATTTGGTTATCAATCATAATAAAAAAGAACATATAAACTGAAGCTCTTGTACTGGATCTCTAACAAAGTTGCTAGCACACAGTCTACTTAGTACAGACAACAGCTGCACAGCCCACCACTGCTGATATTTCACTGGCAGATAAACTCACTGACTTAAAACAATGAGCTTGCCATCAAACTTCACAATACACTGAAAAATCTAATGTATGCTTCAGCTTCCAGATGTGAGGAGCACGACATCCTACTGTTAAGAAAGTGAAAACTCTCAAAGCAGTTTTTCAGCTTTTGCACTAAAATCTTCATGCATGAAGCAGCTGTCTCCTGTTCTCAGTCTTCTTGTTAAAGAACAATGTTGCTGCCAGTGTTTTGGAAAACAAAGTCAAGGCTGAATGATTACTGTTTGACGTTCTGTCTATTTTGTAATCAAGTTCCAGGAAATCCTTGCTTATAGGAAAATCTGGTCTCGCTTTATATACAGTATGTCAATTTTATAGCTAAACCTTTACTGAGCTCTGCCTCTGCCATATAGTGAGGGCCCGAGCACCAATGGTGCAAGGACCCTCTTGGAATCTCTATGTTTATTCTTCTGCTTCTTCTTCTTCTCCAAAGTGTATCGCATTTTTGAGGGCCTAAACATGCTCGAAAACTCACAGAACTGCTGAAAAATTACATCTGATATGGGTTTCAGAATTGGGTGTGGCAAATGGCTCGATAGCACCACCTATAAAATTTCAACGAAGCGTCCCTTCTTTACGTTTCACACACGTGTATGAAATTCAGTACATTCATGTAATGTCCCAATACCTACAAAAAAAATCTCTTGGAGCGAAGTCCTAAACGCAACAGGAAGTCAGCCATTTTGAATTGCCTCTACAATTTTTGTACAGGCAAACAATGTCCAATCTGCCCCAAACTTCACATGTTTGATAGGAGTTCTGTCCTAAACACATGTCCATGCCCATATTCAGTTATAGTCATAGCGCCACCTGCTGGCAACAAGAAGCGACAGGTTTAACACTGTTGTGGACTCTTAGCAACAAATTAAAAAGCGTCAGCAAGTGTTAAATAGGATAGCAACATGCTAGAAACATGTTAAAACATGCTAGCAGCACTTAGCTAAGTGCTAAAGCATGCTATTAATGCACTAAAACAGGAAGTTGCTGTAACTCAGGCATGCAGTGCAGAGATTGTCTTACTATTGGAGAAAGCGTAGTGGTCAACTTGGAACACGTGTGCCTTAATAACCAATCACATTACAGCCTTGACGTCATTGAATTTCAGTCAGAGTTGTGCGACACTCAATCGCCGTTTACGGATACCATAGGAATGAATGAGAAGTGCCACATATGCTGAATCACACCTGTCGCGAAAAGTCAGTGACTTCTCTTAGAAAACTGAATTTTTTTCGGGATAAAAAAATAGTTCAGTTCAAAGTATTGTTTAGTGTAAAACAAGTTGAAGATTTGCTGATAGGCTGTCAATTCATCAAATGATAAGTTGTTTCCTCTTAAAAGCTGTTTATTTAGCGTAGTGAAGCCTAACAACACTTACTAAGCGCTAAAGCATGCTATTACATTTACATTTAGATTTAGTCATTTTGCAGACGCTTTTTATCCAAAGCGACTTACAATTGGGGAATACATAAAGCGATTCTTCTTAAAGAGGCAAACAGACCAAGGAAGTGCTTGTAATACCAAGTTTTAGGCATTGTTCAAATAAGTACAAGCTAGAAAGGGAAGGAATAAATAAAGAAAAAGACAAATTTTTTTTTTTATTTTTTTTTTTTTATGATGAAGTCAAGTAGCGTCGAAAGAGATGAGTTTTCAGCTGTCGCTTGAAATTTGACAGGGATTCAGCATTCCGGATAAGGGTGGGAAGATCATTCCACCAGCCAGGAATGGTAAACGAAAATGTTCTGGAAAGTTATTAATGCCATGAAACAGGAAGTTGTTGTAACTCATGCATACAATGTCCAATCTGCCCCAAACTTCACATGTTTGATAAGAGTCCTGGCCTGAAGACATCCAAAGGCCAATATTCAGTTATAATCATAGCGCCACATGTTGGCAACAGGATATGTCATATTACATTAACTCAAACATACCATGTTCAATCTGCACCAAACTTCACATGTTTGATTAAAGTCCTGGCCTAAAGACATCCACATGCCAATATTCAGTTATGGTCATAGCGCCACCAGCTGGCAGCAGGAAGTTTGGCACATATAAATGACTTTGACCATATTCCTCCTATATTTACAGTACCGCTGTAAATGCATATTACCCACCATTCATTGTTTTCCTATGGCCACAGGGTGGAGGTTGCTCCTGGTGCGAGGGCCCTTCCAACGCTGCTTGCAGCTTTAATAAAAAAATGGAATTTGTTTTCCCAGTTCCTGTCTGTTTTAACTTAAAGAAAACTTAATATTTTGCTCTTTCCTTTAAATAAATATGTTTTGTGAATGTGCAGCTCTAACTACATTTTTGAAGTCTCTTTTGTGTTTTGACACATTTATCTCATTCGTGTCACTTAAGAACATTAGTAAAGTAAATTAAAAAGAAAGTTATCCAGACTACATTAAATAGTAGTCTGGGGGTTGGTATCATATGTTCTATATTTGCAGTTAATATTTGCTATTAATGACATTTTCATAATTTTTCTTTCATAAGTCTAGTCAGTCATAACTATAGCCAGTTCTTCAAGCCTGAAAAGGGTAACTGAGGTTTTCGATTAAAATGCTAATCAATTGTACAGGGGCTATTTATAATAATTACAGTCTGAATTTAAAATAACAACCTAACTAGCCTTTTTATGTCGTTATGATCAAGATCATAATCCCAGTCCATAACCAATTAAGTTTGAACAAGAAATCACGCCTCTGTACATTAAATCCGGAAGACACGCCCACAACGAACTTGTGCACTGGCGGCACAAAGCGATTGGCCAAGGCGCGCTGTCAATCACGAATCTTCCATTCCTTCCGTTCCGCCAACGAGACTTTACACAGATGTGTTTCAGGCGTGCTCGGTTGAGGCGGTTGGACTCCGTTCGCGCAGTGGGATCAACTTCTTTCAGAGGATCTACCGTCTCCTACTCGGACACCTTGAGTTCAATGTAACAGTTATCGTAAACAGTGTAGGTCAAGGTGATCGGGGAGTTACTTTGTTGGAGAATTTAACATATTTAGACGGGGTTTTAAACGCAGAAGAAAATGCCTGTAGCTTCTCTCCTGCCTTTCACGGTCACTCCGAATAGGAAGTCCACCAGCCCGACCTCCTTCAGGCTCACGGAGAAATTCATCTTGCTTTTAGTGTTCAGCGCCTTCATCACCCTGTGTTTCGGAGCTATCTTCTTCTTGCCGGATTCCTCGAAGCTGCTCAGCGGAGTTTTCTTCCGCTCGTCGTCGGTGGAGGCAGAGACGCGCACAGGTACGGTCAGTGACACAAGCACCGGGACGGGCAAGGATGAGAAGATCCTGGCCAAGATCAGAAAAGACCACGAAAAGGCGCTGATTGAGGCCAAGGACACCCTACAGAAAGGGCCGAACGAGATCAAGCAGGACATCAACAGCGACAAAGAGAAACTTGCGCTAAACGGACAGGGGAAGGGAGCGAAAGCTGACAGTTTGCCGTTCGTCCAGTATGAGCGTCCGCCTGGAGCAACAGGGCACGAGCCCGCGGATCCTGACATTAAAGCTAAAAGAGCCAAGATTAAAGAGGTACTGTGTTTTTTATTTTTGATTATTAGATATACTCCTGCGGTTTGCTCCGACTCTCGAGAGAAATCATGTCAGTTATTGTTATGAAAATAACTTTCCCCGTGTAGCGAAACCAATCTGTTATTAATGTTAGTTTAATGGCAGTACTAGTGGCTGGAAAACAAAACTGGAGGAGTGTTGACACTGTCAGTTTCAGGAAGCATTTTGAACCTGTATGTTCTGACAGGTCGGTTGATGGACAAGAAACTCCAGTCGCTCACAGAAGAACGCGTTCATTCTTTCTGTCGCTCATTCACCTAGCAGTACTGACTGACAGTATTCAAGTCAATATTCCTCATTTTTCAGTCAGTATTTCACTCTACATTCCCTGTGGTCAGTATTTAATCAGCATTACCCATTTCCGTCAGTATTTATCTGTTTCCCCCAGTCTGTTTTCACTATTTCAGAAAGCATTGCCTGTCATATGGTACTTCAGACAGTGTTCTCTGCCTTTTCAGTCTGCACTGCCTCTATTTCAGTCCGCGTTCCCTGTTTATTCAGTATTCCAGTCAGTAGTCCTTATTTTTTTTTTAGTATTTTAGGCAGTGACGCCTTCCTTTTCAGTCAGTATTGACTTTATTACAGTGGCTATTGCAGTCTGTCTTCCCTGTTTTTAGTATTCTTATTTTTTAGCAGTTCAGTCAATAATCAGTGTTTGCCCTTTCAGTTAATACTTTAGCTAGTGTTCCCTGATTTTATATTTTTTGGTCTTTATTTTACTGAATTTTAGTCAATATTCCCTGTTTTTTTTCAGTCAGTGTTTTAATCAGTAAGCCCTCCTATATTTTAGTAAGTGCCACAGTCTGTATTCCAGTATTCCCTGTTTTTCAGTATTTCAAGCCAGTACTCACCATATTTCCGTTAGAATTTGTCTGCATTTCAATCACTATTCCCCATTTCACTCAGTATTTTATTTTGTATTTCCGTTTTTTTTTCTTTCTTTTTTTTCAAGTCAGTATTGCCTATATGTTCCTGTCAGCATTCTGTTATTAATATTTATCTTAGTGCTCCTGTATGTGTTTCCCCTTCTATTCCCTGTATTTCAGGCTGTTCAGTCATAATTGAGCTAGAGGTTTTTACATGATAAGGGCAACCTTTTTGTTTACATGAAAACTGGGCAAGTTATATCATAAGTGCAAGATGCGTCATCAGCATCATATTCCTGATGTTACCAGTAATGACAATAGTAAGCCAAAACCTATATTTTGTTGAGGTTAGGAGGGCACTTATGCTGATATGCACTATAAAAAAATGTATTAAAAAAAGTATTTGACAATTTATCTTTAAGTTATGATGGTGAAGTACTATTAATAATTTGAAATATAGTTGCATTATTGGACAATAACCTATGGTACAGATATTTTGTGTATCCCTATTTAATGGCCATCTCAAGTATGTTTTCCCTGCAAAGTTGATTTGATTTGTTCACCAATATTTTTTTGAAGCTATATTGCATTTTTCATTGCAAGCTATATTGCATTTTTCTTTTTTTTGGAAAATGCACCAAAGTTATAAATGATATTGATTATATTCTTAAATGATGCTGGTAAAAATGGTGTAGCCTTGAAAACTACAGTAATAACTAGAATTTTTTTTTTCTAGAGCGGTAGAGATGCCTCGATCAGATTGAGCTGAGCTCATCTCAATGTCTTGGTTGAGGTGACCTGCTAAAGCGTTAACTATATGTTAGGGCTGCACTATTAATCAAATGCGATTGTCAGGCTTATTTTGTTAAAAAAGCCGGTTCTGTAATCAGCACGAAATCATCATCACGTGCTTTCAGATGGAGCAGAATTTACTACACATAGCCGTAGTTACGCAACAAAATCGCAGACAATTTTATTGCGTGATTCTGAAATCGTTCGCGATAATGACAGCTGTTTGCATAGCTTCTCAGTGAACTACGGCTCTGTGAAGTAAATGCTGCTCCATCTGAAAGCATGTGAAAATACCACATTTAATAACATATTTTTACTCCAAACTCACTTCATAACGTCAGTCGAGTGTTTGAAATAAATCCTTCTGTGAGATGATGTGGCTTTTTACACAGAATAAGGCACGCAACATATTTCATAGTATTTAAGCAGTGATAAAGGCATTGCATTATAAATATACTTTATTTTAATAAATTATAGTAAGAAGAACTCAGATAAACCGTATATTGCCGTAGCCGTGTGTTTATTAGACACATTGAATCAATGAAAGCAGTTGAATCTTCTGTTTATTCAGCTGCAGCGATAGGCATTTTCTGGGTTTCTTCTGCGAGGCGTATTTGGAGTTTCAGCGCGAGAGCGCCCTCTGGCCTTTGGATGGAGATTTACTGCTGATCACAGAACCGTGCTTCACTGAAAGATACGGATGACAATCGCAGCTTCTGTCGAATCGCAATCTCGATTCCATTTCGAATTATCGTGCAGCCCTACTATATGAGCTTGTAAAGGAGCGTAAACAAGGCTGTCATTTCTTGGGTGCATTTAGAGCATGTCAGGCCAGTCTAATAATCCCTCAGTATGAGTTGAATGTTAACTTTGCATCAGCTTGATTAAATTAAATTTGCTATTGATTGAGACTCAGTTTTTCCCATTTGAATCAGGCAAGTCCACAGTAAAGATGTAGATGAAAACTGACAGCATGGTAAAGCTTTAAAATCGCTTTTCAGTTGGTATTGACCTTGTGTCCTTGCTTTTTTTTGTGTGAGTTTATCCTCCACAGTCAGTCACTACGTTTCAGTTATTTGCATAAGGAAATGGTTTCTATGCTCCTATGGCGTCCTTCAAATTTACATCGTGTCACTTTGTAATGCCAGCTTATGTTTTGAGATTTTGTCCTACTGTTTCTTTTTGCTTGAGGGCTCGTTTTTGCTCATTAAGTTTTGAGTATATTCAAGCATGTGACACAAAGCGTATTCCAGTCACAGTAGTTTATCTAAATGGTTGCTCCTCAGAGTTAGTCCGTCAGAGTTGGATGAGTTTTAATACCAGGATTAAACCGTTATAGAGTTAAGCACATTAGTGCATGCGGAAGCCTCCACGTTCCTCTCCAAGACTGTTAGAGTTCCTGCGGATCTGACAAGCCCCTCATCTCTCTTGCTTAATGCAGCGGCTCAGCATGAGAACGGTGATAATTCACCCTTGAATAGCAGGATTTCATCCATTGATCGCTGGCATGAAGGAAACAAACAGTCACAGCTTGACCCTGTGGGGTCTCACTTGTCAGATGCGGCTGTGGGCACTCTGTCTTGCCCCGCCAGACACTCTGACCTTTGAGGAGCTGAATTGCCTTAGAAAATAAATTGATCTCAAGGTTATGAAGTAAAAATAGTTGTGTGAGATTATTTTTTCCTGCTTTTATAACTAAAAGCTGTAAACTCCTAAAATGGATATGTCACAGTGACATTTACAGGACTGTTTTTGACTCTTTGCATTTAGTTATAGTAATAATTTTGTAATAGAAATGCAGATCTCCTTGATTGACTCCCTTGAACGTTAAAGGCAGAGTAAGTGATTTTTGGTAGCCAATGTTGATATTTGAAATCACCAAAACAAACACGCCCCTACCCCAAAAGGGTCTTGCCCCTATTTTGATAGCTCCATCCCACATATACGTACGCTGAATGATTAATCGTTACATTACATTACTGGTGTTGATGTTCTCAATATGTAAATATGTAATGAAAAATATTGATAAATATATTACATTTATTTATTATAAATGTACACTACTGTTTAAAAGTTTGGGGTCAGTATGATTATTTTTAAATTCTTACTACTTTTTAAATTTCTATTCATCAAAGTATCTTGAAAAATGTATCATGTTTTCCACAAAAAATCAATCAAAAACAGCAGCACAACCGTTTTTAACATTGATAATAATAATAAAAAAAAATGTTTCTTGAGCACCAAATCAGCATATTAGAATGATTTCTGAAGGATCATGTGACACTGAAAACTTCCTTCAGTGACATAATTTTTTACAGTACAAGATAATGAGTGTGGTATAATGTAAGTCTAATATTAAGAGGGCCCTATTATGCTTTCACTTTTGCAACTTTAGTTAGTCTGTAATGTTGCTGTTTGAGCATAAAAAAGATCTGAAAAGTTAAAAGTCCACTTCAAAAGGAGATATTTTATTTAACAGAAATATCACTTCAAAAACTACAATGAACGACTCGTTTGGACTATAACGCATATTTTCCGGGATTTGTGATATCACAAATACAGACGAATGGGACGAGACGGACGAGACCTGCACTAGAGAAGGCAACGAGTGTTATCACTATGTCGGAGACACGCTAGTTTCCCAAGGCTCCCAAGGCAGGAGTGGTTACAATCATCCGGGTTTAAATCGCGCTCAAATTGATTTGATTTTGACACAATATTTACACTGAAGCACGCAGGCGGCTATGGTAAGGGGCATGACATTTCCCAACCAGGCGCCGAGTGCTGCCAATCACAACACACACTGGCCCAGCTAACCAATCACAGCACATTTCGT